CCAAAGGTTTCACACCCAGGAGAACATGCATGCTGTTTTCCAGGACAAAGGCTATTGAAGAACTTACAATTTCATGGAGAAATTAGTCAGGAGACTCCAGCATAGGGAGAGAGGTGGGGTAGGTAGGTAACAAAACTCAAGCCACTTATGGTTTAGTTTCTTAGGTGCTCCAGGCAAAGACGATGAGTTTGTATGAGGAGCCACCCATGGGTGGGGAGCAGTTATTCTCATAAAATGAATACAGTCAACATTATTGAAACAGTGAAGTAATGTCATTAACAGAGTTCAATGTATTTCAGGGAGCTGAATCAAACCAGACTATCAAACACTTTTAGGAATGAACTATCAATTAGTTAAGCTTCTAACTAGATCAAATTTACTTTTCATTAAGAAAGAAACCAGCCTTATAAAAAGATCCAGCTCTAGAAATGTTTTAAAAACAGATACTCTATAAACAGTTGTGATATAAAGCAATGCATCTATGTTTACCTAATAAAAAAGGATCAAGCTTGATTTTCCTTTCCCATTCTGCACAAAAGCCCTTATTCAGAACAAGCTCGGTGTGTCATAATGTAAAGATTGGAGCAGTGGTTCTCACAGTGTGGTCCCTGAACCAATAGCATTATCATCACCTGGGAAGTTATTAGACATGAACAGTTGACGTTCCACCCCAGGTTTACCTAATCAAAAACTTTGTGTGGGGGGGTGGGGTTCAGCAATTTTTATTTTAACAAGGGCTTCTAGGTAATCCTGATGTACTCTAAAGTTTGAGAACAACTGGATTAGACTGCAAACACAGGAGTCAGAAAGTATTTTAAGGTAAAGTCTACTGTCCCCATCACAATTCCTTAAGCCTGGAATTATAACATGAAAGCAGTCATAGACGACGTGTACATCAATGTCCCTGGTTAGAGTTCAATAAAACTTTATTTACAAAAAAGAGAGTAGGTTGGATTTGGTCCACAGGCTGTAGTTTGTTGACTCTTGCAAGGATAACCTTTCTTACACTTGTCCCTCTCCTGCCTTGTTCATTTTCTGTTTTCATTCTTTTCTCCTTCCCTCATCTCATCTCATCTACTTAGCATGCCTTTTTTTCCTATTTCTCTATTTTTTTTTCTTTCGTTCCCATTCATCACCTCCTGTGTTTACTCAGTTTCCAATTCATCTTTCCTCTCCCCCTCCTGGCACTCCCATTTCTCTCGCCAACCCCTCTGTCTCTTTACTCGTTGACACAGCCAAGAATGCACATTCTTCCACCATCTTCCCTCACTCCTTTCCCTTTTTCACCGCCACAGGAGGATGGTTACCCACTCCCATAATAAATTCAGGAGTACATTGCTCATTGGGAAAATCTAATACAGAAGTGCTAATTCCTGTGTCTTGTATTATTAAGGAAAGAAATGTCAGTCTTTTCTGTAATGAAGCTATTTCCATGTATCATCATTAGGCTCAGGAAGCATTGTGTAGGCTACCTTGGTGACATTTGTAGATATTATAGCAATTGTAAAATTGGAGAACTTCTCTTTGTTTCTTTGTGTTTTTCTCAAAGCAAGTCAGAACTCAACCCAGGTGGTGTTTTTGTGTTTCCAGGTTTAAAGGAATTTGATCTTTATCACAGTGAAGACCTGAATTATAAATATAGGAAGAAGAAAAAGTCCTACTTTTTAAAATATGAAGTTATTCACTTGGGGCATTATATTTTTCTTAACTTTTTGGATACATTGGCAGAATAAGTATCAGGCCTTCTGATCAGGCAAATGATAAGTTTCCTTGTGAAATACCATGATAAGAATTTGTCACCATGACAAGCATACAAAATAAGACAAGCATGTCCAGAAACCTTGCTTACAAATAACCAAATAGCCTAATATGAATAAAGAAAATATGGGAAAGGAAATGAATCTCTGAAGTATATTTGTAATATTTTATTAAAATAAGTCTTTTTACCCTTCTGGTAGATTTTGAGCATATTTTGTTCTCAATTACATTTTTAAAGATGTAATTAAAATTATAAATGACATAACACTAGCCTTTCAAATTATTTCTTAACATTATATCAGGAAGCCATAGGACTGTCACATGCACTTTCCAGTTGTGGGACCAGGCTGTTCCCTGAGGGGAGGTATCCTGCTCCCCACTCATCAGTAGGTAAGATCAAACATACTAGCTCTTCTGACTCCAGTCCCTCAGAATAAAAGCTATTATTTTTTTTTACTTTGTGACCCTGAGAGACCTTAGGCTGGGGTTAAATACTGATATGACTTTGAATCTGCAGATGGACGCTAACTCAATACAACTGCACTTTTTGAGAGACTAGATAAAGAATAAGCTATTTGAAAGACAGAAAAATCCTTACATGGTTCTTAGCACAATGCTTGACACATGGCAAGCAATTATTAACTATATTAATAAATGAATCAATGAATGGATGGACCCCTGAGGGTCACAGAAAGGCTGCATGATTTAGGACTTTAACATAATATACATCTTTATTATTTGTAGGACACAGTTTCAAAATTGAACCCAACATCATAATAAGATCAAAAACTAACAATGGATATAGTAAATTCAATGGATGGTAAGTACATTGAATCATACTGTATTATATTCATAAGCCTTATAAAAATAGATAAATATTGATTAATAAAACTAATAATATTTATTGTTATAGGCTCTTTATCTTGGTGTCCTCAAAAAATCTAGCTATTACACATTGTCATCCATAATATCAAGCACTGAATTTATTATCCACAAAGCGAATCCATCCATCATCTCTTCAATAAATATTTACTGAACAAATACTCTGTGTTTGGCACTGAGTAAGATACTAAGTAAGGTTCATTCTTCTATTTAAATATCAAAAAATATAACTCTGGGTTATGTGTGTGTGTGTGTGTGTGTGTGTGTGTGTGAGGGGGGGCAGAGAATGAATGTCTGGTTTCAAAGCTCATCACGCTTTCATTAAACAAAATGCAGATAGAAGTCATTTGTTTTCCTGAATTGTCAGAAAAATTATGTATAAAAATAACATATGTTTGGAAACAAATAGTAAAACACTGGTTTTAAAAAACGTCATGGTTTGTAGATAAAGTAAACAATCATCATTTCATATGAGCCCCATAACAGTCTTATAAAGTAGGCAGGGCAATGGTTATACCCATTTTGCAGATAACTTCAGAGAGAACAAGGAGCTTGCTCCAGGTCACGTGAAAAATAAAATACCAGAGGTGGAGACAGAACTACATGAAATATGACATGAATGAAAACAGTGCGATCAGCTAAGTTTCAGTATATTTTGGAGTGAACAGACTGAGAGTGTGAAAAACAGGTACCATTTCTGGTTTTCGTGTTGATGCATTGAATCACCAGAGGTCAATTAACCTCTCTCTATGCCTCTATTTCCACATCTACCAAATTGAGAATAATGGGCTTTGCCACCTCACAGGGCACAAGGAAGATTAATTAGATAAAGCTTGTGGGGCCGGCTGAGTGGCTCAGTTGGTTAAGCGCTCGCTCAAGGGAGCAAGCTCTGAGCAACAGTGTGGTCGCCGGTGTGATTCTGAGCCCAAGCTGAGCGGCCGCTGAGCTGTTGGTAGGATGGCTCAGCTAAAAAAAAAAAAAAAAAAAAAAAAAAAAAAAAANATTGGTTATTTCTCTGCCTGGAACATTCTGTTAACAGATGTTCACATGTTGGTGCCAGTTTCTCCCTGTCCTTATTGGTCTTTACCCAAATGTCATCTTTTCTCACCACCCTATTAAATTCCTTCCTTTCAACTTCTATCTTTTAAACTTGTTTATTTTCTTGTCATTTCACTTATTATCAGTAACTAGGCTGTTTATTTATTTGCTTGCTCAGTTTTTTAAATTGCTCTTCCATTAGAGTGCAAGCAACAAATAGGTAGAGAATTTGTCTGACTGATCTCTGTGTCACAGTGTCTAGAATGGTATCTGGCATATAGAAACTTCTCAGCCATTATTTCTTGAATAAACTAGTGGGTGAAAGAACATCAGAATGGTTTAATCATTGAGCCTAACTGAAATAACAAAACCAATGTGAGTTAGCAACCCAAAAATTATGTGTGTCCCAAGTCATTTTCCATGACAATGCTTGACATGGTTTTATTTTATGCTAAGCAGCCTGTAGTTGCTCTCTCTTCATGCATCACCCAGGCTTTGATGACCAAAATCATGATGATGATATTAAAGGAGAAATGATGCTACATTTAAATTAAAATTTTAGAAACAAATAACTCTGTATAGTATAATATAATCTTTTCTTGAGACACTTAAAAAAGCACCTGTGTCAGAATTATATCATGGTCAATTCAGACTACAATATTGTTTTCAGTTCTATAGACAGGTAGGCTCCTGGGGAGGTCTCTCTAGGTATAGAATCCCAGGATGGAAAATTGAGATTGTAAATGGCCAGGTTGCAAATGGTCTAGATTCTTTATTTTTATTCATCTACTTCTCTCACCATAAAATAGGACATACATTAACCTCATTTAAAGGTTGTTCAATTAAGTATATTTTCATTTTTATTACTTTTTTTTTCTAGACTTAGTTTCCTTGTTTGCATTTTCTGGTTTCTGTTATATCTGGAAATACCACATAGAGTAATATAAACATGTCATTCTTCCAGAAGATAATGTGCCTGACATCTCCCTACATCTTATACTTGTGATCAAGTTGCAGGAAATGTACCGCTGACAATTTGAGGTGGGATAGAGAAATTCTGAGGGAAGTAATGGAGGACTGCTTTGGCCACCCAGTTTAAAAAGCAAAGCTTGGGTTACTCATCTAAAGTAGATTATGCTTAGTCCCCCATAAACATAGCAATTCCAGCTTGTACAAACCTTGTTCATTCATATTTAGATCATCACATTTGTAGATATGTAAAATAAAGGTATATTTATTTTAGGATATCTTTCTGGATATTTCATATGGAAATAAGATCGGACCTCTCAAAACCACTGACCATACCTAGGAAGTGCCCTTACCTGTCTTTAAATACTGCATCATCGATCCCCTTCCTACGAAGCAGATCTCGTGGGCCATAGGGTGTGTCTTTGCATTTAGAGTCTGTGTCACAGAGTAGGGTTTGCAGGAACGGGAAGAAGCCAGTACTGGGAAGGTTTCGAGGTGCAAGGTAACCTGGAATTAAAAAACAAACATTAATTACATCACTGTGACGTTTGCCTGGGAAGAGAAAGAGAGGCAGTAACTCTGTTTTGTGAAATTATTGTACCTGCTGGATTATGACTGTCTGGGTCCCCTATGTAGCAAAAGAATTTAAAATTCCATGAATCTCTCTTCCTGGGATTTATTCTAAGGAAATAGTTGCTAAAGTGTTTTCTAGAGTGTTTTAAATATAA